CCCTGTAAATGGAAAGAAAATCAGGAGCTCTGTGGAAACTTGGTGGAGGAAAATGTTGCTGAGGCTTAGAGCCGTTAGTAAAGGCTTTAAGAACAGAGTAGGATCCAGGAGAGTAGAATTCAATGGCTGAGTATTTTGCCCAAAGGAAAATGTTCTAAACGTCCATTTTTTATGTGCCCTCTCAAATCCTTTCTGGAATAATGCAATGTACAACTAAATAAACCAATTGAGTATAGTCAATATTGGTGTGCATGAAGTTAAGGGTTTTGGGGAATGTAATTATCTACATTAAACAACTTGTCTATAAATCAAGTTGTGGCTTGTAAATCCCAGAAAACTTATGGTGATACTCAGGTTAAGTCACAGACCAGCTCTATAGTCACTAAAAGTCTTTCTAATGTTAGTTTGTCTCAGAACACCTCCATAGAAATGAGAAAAGGCCTGACCGATGGCAACCTAAGAGGGTAGTGATACAGAAACTAATCTGCCATCAGGAGATTGTTGGAGCTGTGTTTTTAAAAGCATCCCTCAAGATCGTATTTGACTACAGTTTCTGATGAAGTTGAATCATAAATTTAAGTAGAAAAACTTAATAATGTGATCACTATTATTTTTGTGCTGGCAAGAAATTGTAGATTTGTATAAAAAAAAAGAGGGGGGAGTCAATTAACAGAGTCCCTGCTAAGGAAAGCGAAGGCCTAGAGGCAAAGTTGTAATTTAATTCTTTGGTGTGCATTGATTTTCCTCCCATGTCTTGAAGGTTTCCTCTAAAACACCAACTGTCTGTTAAAAAATAAGATCTCGGCACTCATTAGATTACAGCAATGTTCTTGAATTATGTGTAATATTCTTTCATCTTTTCTGCCTCTAGGGGGAAGTGTGTTTTCAACAATTCTGTCCCTAGAAGCATCTTCTCACTGGGCTACAGGCTTCGCAGGGACATTCTCCAGGGAGAAGGTCATATGGACTATTACAACTGGTGGAGAAAACTTCTCTCTGATAGCATTTCTAACACATTTCAAAGAATCCCGTGTTAAGGTTCTTTATATAAAGCTATCTTTTCCTGGTAGCAGAGTGATAAATATAGGCACTGGTTTTATTGCACAGAGCTGAAAAACAAATAGTTGAGTACTTTATAGAAAATTTGCCACCTTATTTTAGCACCTTATAGTTAAAAAATATGGTTTGTGGATATTGATGAAAACATTTCTAAGTTCTAGAAAAAGGTATTCTATCATATCGTGTTTAGGGCCAACATTGTTTTAGGCTTTCTTTTTTTCAGAAGTAGTAATGTGTACTCACACATTCCATAAACTCGATTTTATCAAACTTTAAAAATAATTTTTATATCTGTGAATAAAACTAGCCCTTTTCAGTAATGTGGGTTACAGATATTTCCCCAGGTCTTCTTTCTTTTGGCTAATTTTATTTTGCAACATTCCCCCGTAACTTTCTTTTGTTTTCATTTGGCAATTGTAGTCTGAAAGAATGCACTCCATGAACAGGTTAGCAATTTTTTAAGTGTTAAAAAAAGTGCTTCCCCCCCCCCCCATTTCAGTATTTTACAGATTGGAAAGGAGCACTATTTAAAAATTGAATCTAACAGATGAGTTATTTCATTTTTTTTTCTTTTTCCTTCTTTCTGGTTTTGACTCATCTTCACGATTATAATGTTGCAAGAATTCTATTATAAAATATTAGTAATCTCACTGTGTTGTATATTCTGAAAACAACTTCATATGAAGTAAAATCTTGATATAAAGAATATTATTACTTAAAATAAAAGTTAGCTTTGTTCCTCTTACAGGGTGTAATAGGTGGGGCACACTTTATTTCTAATCCAATTCCACATGAAAACACTCTCAGGGGATGAAGAGTTATTAAATATGCCATTTATATTCTTTGGGCCTCAATCTTTCATCTAGAACGTGCTGGGTGTCAGGCTGGGTGACTTTTAAAGTCTTTCCAGCCTTAAGATTGAAAAAGTCCATTACAGTCATAATATTTACACCAACTTTCAGCTGCTTGGGAAAAATCTAATTTGATTGCAAGTAAACAAACTCATAATATTAAAATCTGTATAATTATATTACTTGCTGGGTCTTCCTATACTCTGATGTCTATTTTCATTGGAAAAACTTAAAAAAATCCTAATTTGTGTTCTTTGGAAAAATTTAAGGGGTGTTTTGCATTAGCAAGAGCAGTAACTGGCGTTTCTGGTTTTGCCGTCCAGTTCCGGGGCTCTGCCCTTCCACAGGCTGGTTTGTTCGTGCTCTTGAGTGACAAGCTGGAAGCTGAGAGCTCTAGTCCAAAGGCCACCGAGAGGTCGGTACTCACTCAAACGTAAACGCACTGCCCTGCGCATGACCCTCGGCACGGCTGGGCAGCGCCAGTGGGGGCGGGGGGGGGGGGGGGGGAGGCATTCACGCCCGGTGTCACTGAAATCCCAGACTCCAGAATAAGCCCATGCTCCACAGCAGGCAGAATCGTCTCGCCATTGGCCGGTGTTCCCCAGACGCAGGGCATAGCCGGCAGTAATAGGACACCCTGGTTCCTTGACGTTTCCTGGCAACCAGTTTAGAAATCCATGAAAACTCTTGGATTTAGCCATTGTTCTCTTCCTTCCTTCCGTCTTTCCTTCTTTATTTCCTTCCCCCCTTATTTCCCTTCTTACTCGCTCCACCCCTCCCTTCCTAGGAGTTCAGGGAGGATTTAATTGCAGCGAAGCACTAAGTTTCCATGTCCACTGTGTGTGTATTACCGTGTTAGTGGATTTAAATTTTGTACAGATAGATGCCTCTTTTGCTACTGGTTAGTAGCTCTAATTAAATAAATGAAAATTCTCACAGGTGTTAGACGCTCCTACATCAGGATCATAGTGCATAATCTGAAATTTAAATAACCTAGAAGATGAAAAGTTGCCCATAATTACATTTTCGGTTCCAGAAAGACCGATAGGGAGGGTGCAATTAACTGTGGCTAATGCAGATGCCTGAAGATGCCACATCTCTGGAAACCCCAATTTGCCTTTTCAAGGTCACGAATAAGAGCGAGAGCGATCTCGGCGTTTAAATAAGCAAGCAAGCAAGCAAGCAAGCAAGCAAGCAACCAAGCTTGCAGTGCCTGGGACGGGGCATCAGGGATATCAGTCGGCTTCAAGCTTCTGCCGAAAGAGGGCGTTAGTCTAAGACTAATACATATTTGTGGATACGACACGCAGTACTCAAATGAAAGACCCTTAAAAAAAACATTTTTAAACTTATTTTAATGTGAGGGACTTAGGTGTCAGAATTCTCCTGTCCAGTGTAGCACGTTCACATTGCAAATGACCTCAGTGTGTTACCACGTCCAGAGGGTCAAGTTCCATTCGGACCTGTCCTGCAGCGCCGCTCACTCCTCTGGCCACTGGCTTCTCCGCGGCCGTTTCCATCCTAGTCTCCACTGCGGTTGTGGCTGTGACCAGGGGCAGAACTGGGTCTCCGAGGCAAGACCTTTCTCTGCATTGCAGAACCCAGAGCAGAGAGTCTCGCGGGCTGCGGAGGAGAAGCGGTTGGATTTCCGAGCGCTCCGGTCGGAGTTGGAGCTTGCGCGGGACCCTCGGGGTAACGGTTTTGGGGGACGGTCTCTTTGTTTAGTTACCTGGTTTAGCAAACAATGCCTCGAAGACGCCTTGGAGATGCTTCTCGGACTGTTTCCCCACCTCCAGAAGCGGAACCGTTCTCTTGCCTTTGGGAGCAACAAGTTTCGCTTTCCTGCTCACAGTACACCGGAGAGAGTCCGTGCGTGGGGACGCCGGCATCCCCGCCACGCACTCCAGCGAGAACCCGCGCTGCCCAGAGGGAGGGGGCCGGCTCGGGGCTGCGGACGCGGGGTGCGACTAACGCCCAGGTTTAGCAAGGCATTCCAGGTCCGCTGATCGAGCCGCCTGCACAGGGTCCATGGTCCCCGTTCCCTTACCTTGCGCCAGGGGACAGGGAAGGTAGGGGGCCCGCCCAGAGTTTGCATGCCAGAAGAGAATGTGGCCGGAGTGAGAAAGAGGTGAGAATGAGCGGGACCTACAGATTTTTGCACCGAAACTACCAATTTCTAGAACCACCCCTTTCTCTAATCCTGTTGTTTATTTTTGCACGTTGTGTGTGTGTGCCTCTGCGCATTTCTGTACTTTCGAAAGCATTTTCTTTTTTAAAGCCCGATGCTAGAGAGAGCGCTCTGGTGCTGGGTCAAGGAGAGGCGGGGACCCCCGAGGCGGTGGGGGCTCCCGCGGATGCAGACGTGGGCGACTGCGGCTTTAAGGAAAAGACTGAGGGCTGGCGGGGAGTGGGGCTTAGGGGCAGAGGAGGGTTGGGAAGGGAAGGGGTGCGGGGAGGAGCCCTGATGTAAGAATGTTAATGAGAGGCTCCCCCAGCCCAGCCCCCACCACTCCCCACCCCCACCCCCCACCCGCTGAAACTACAAGCCCGGCCTCTGCGCGCCATGTGTGGTAACATGCTCCGTGGCTGCCACGCTATTTAAACGCCAGTTATGGATCCAGGAACCGGCGCGAATCAATGAGATCAAACGCGAGGGAGATGCACCGTCAATTACAAGCACTTGGACAAGTTTAACTTTTTCTTCTTTTACAAATACGCTTTCAAAAGCAACCTTAGCAACGCCCAAATAGAAGCCACCTCTAAGCAAAATAGTATATATAAAGGGAGGGCGGATATATATATATATGTATATATATATTTATAATAAGTATATATATAAATATTTACAGGCGTACAGGTTTACACCCGGTGAACTTTTTCTTCTTTTTCTTTTCTTTTTTTCTTTTTAAACGAGTAATATTGCAAAGAAGGACTCTTCTTCCTCTCTATCTTTTGGCGATTTAGCGAAGGGGGTATTTTATTTTCTTAGAGCGCCCAAGGGGGCGCAGGGACCTGGGAGAGAGGAGTGGGGAGGAAAGAGGAAGGGTGGGTGGGGGGCAGAGGGCGAGCCGGCGGCGAGGGCAGGCGCTTTCCTGCGGCACGATGCCGTCCCTGCTGGTGCTGACTTTCTCCGCGTGCGTCCTGCTTGGCTGGGCGTTGCTAGCCGGCAGCGCGGGTGGCGGTGGCGGCGGCGGGCGCCGGGAGAGAGAGACGCTGCCACCGCAGAAGATCGAGGTGCTGGTGCTGTTGCCCCAGGACGACTCATACCTGTTCTCCTTGGCCCGGGTGCGGCCGGCCATCGAATACGCGCTGCGCAGCGTGGAGGGCAACGGGACCGAGCAGCGTCTTCTGCCAGCCGGCACTCACTTTCAGGTGGCCTACGAAGACTCAGACTGCGGCAACCGCGCACTCTTCAGCCTGGTGGACCGCGTGGCAGCGGCGCGGGGCGCCAAGCCCGACCTCATCCTCGGGCCGGTGTGCGAATACGCGGCGGCGCCGGTGGCCCGGCTTGCGTCTCACTGGGACCTGCCCATGCTGTCGGCCGGGGCACTGGCCGCGGGCTTCCAGCACAAGGACACGGAATACTCGCACCTCACGCGCGTGTCGCCCGCGTATGCCAAGATGGGCGAGATGATGCTCGCCCTGTTCCGTCACCACCAGTGGAGCCGCGCCGCACTGGTCTACAGCGACGACAAGCTGGAGCGGAACTGCTACTTCACCCTCGAGGGGGTCCACGAGGTCTTCCAGGAGGAGGGTTTGCACACATCCGCTTACAGTTTCGATGACACCAAAGACTTGGACTTGGACGACATCGTGCGCTATATCCAGGCCAGTGAGCGAGGTGAGCAGGAGGGGGCCCGGGGTCCCTGAGGTAACCCAACTACTCTCCGCAGCTCTCCCTGCATACCCATGCCCTCCCTGCAGACCCCACTTCCCCGCCGTGGCACTAAGGACTCGGGGAGGGCGCGTGTGCGGGGACTCGCTCCGGTGCTCGCGGTCTGGCTGCCAGGACCTTTAATCATCGCCCATCGTTGTCACAGGGTGTGAGTAGAAGATCCCGGGGACTTGATGGAGCCTGGGGGAGGGGCGTCTGAGCCCTTAGCTCCGACAGGTGCTGTCAAACCACCTGGATTTTTTCTTCCTCGCTCCCCCTTCTCCCGAGCCTGACTAGCGACTAGGGGCGCACTCCGGGTGCCCTGCTCCAACTAGGATAAGAAAGCAGGCGGAGGCCAAAAGAACTTGTTGCCCAGTCTTTTCGCGACATGCACCCCTCCTAGTGGGGAAGCGTATGCGGACTCTACAGCCCGTGCGCTGCCACTTGGCTCGCTCAGGTCTCTGGTTTTCCTGGCTTCTCCTTCCACAGATCCCAGCTTTCTTTTAAAAGCTCATTTATCGCCCTTCTCATTCCTTCCATGGCCCGTCCGGCTTCTTATAAACGAGCTTCTGTGGTTTCCACCAAAAATGCCTTGCTGTGTCTGGACTCAGGGGACACTCACTACCCTTGGTGTGTTGGGCATCGCGGTCTCTAAAGCGCCGGGAGGGAGACTTTGCCCGAGCGTGCGCAGGAGAAGTAGGAGCTGAACCTTCTTTCCACGTGCTCTCCAAGTTTTTTCCGCGGGTTTGTGGGGGTTTGACTAAGCACCAAATTATGGCTACAGAGAGTAGAAGAAAAAGAGGGTGGTCGCGGATACACAATCTCAAAAGCCTCCACTGTGGCCCCTTTTACTGCAGAGTAGACTGCGGGGATGGGGGCTGAGATGGCAGCAAAACTCAGTCTCCCCCCTACTGGTGGCAGGTTTGGGGTGCAGAGCTGTGGGAATCCCGCCTCTGCTCCCACTTGCTCCCAGACTATAAATGGTGCAATCTCAGCAAAGCTCCCCACGATCCAGGGGCTGAGCCAGGTGCAGGGCTAGCCCACGACTTGGCACGGCTGGGCACCTGGGCGCTGGCTGTAAGAGACAGTGCAACCGGAGGCTGGAGGTATTAGGAACAGATGAAAGTGGGCAGAGGAGCAATGGAGGATGGCGCTGGGGCCACCTCCCTTCCCAATTTGGCTACCTAGAACTCTTAGTGAACGCACTCTTCAGAGCAAGGAGGTGGGAGGTGTTGACAGTGGGGATGCGTGGCCAACTTTTGAGCTTTTGAACTCCAGGCTGTCTGCTCCGAATCCCTGCCAGCCAAGCAGGCGGGGCGCGCCAGCTTTGCTGATTATGAAAAAGGGTACTTGTATCCAAGGGCTGCGGACTCGCCACGCCCGGCCGAGAAACCCACATCTACTTCTTACCTCCAGTCTCCAGGTTACTGCAGACCCCTGCAGACCTCGGGCGACTGTGGCCCCCGGAACCCGAATCTTGGGCTCTCCGCTTTCCAGGGCCGAGGGCCGGGATCTAGTTCTTGGAGACCTCCCAGGGCAAGCTGGGGGGGGGGGGGGCGGGGGCAGGGGAATGGGGGATGGAGGTGTGGTCCCCTACTAGCGAGATCCGAGGTCTGCCAAGTCTTCTGTGCAGCCGGCCGCTGCCCTGAAGGTCTCAATGCCGGTGGTGATCCCAGAGCACGTGGCCTGGGGATCTATGGCCCAGGGGACTCTGTCATTCCAGATTAGGGCAAACCATGGCCACCGGGCCCCTCAGCCTCACAAAGGGTGGTTGAGGCCAGGGAGCAGGGAGGGCAACAGTGCCCTGGTGGGCCTGGGGGTTCAGAGGGCTTGGACTATTTGCTGCTGCTGATTAGTTTTTAATGAGACAAGTCTCCCAGATGTACTCAGTCTCTGCTTTTTCCTTCTTTTTTTAAGTTTGAATTTAGTGGTGAAAGTTTGCTTGGCTGACCTGTATATTTTACAGGTTACAAAGATTACCATTCCCACTCTAAAGTGTATTTCCAACAGTGACTTGGCACATGTCCAGAAATACAAAATCGTTTCTCTCCTAAGTCCCCCACTCTCTCAAATTCCCTACCCTCAAGAGAGAAAGTTGCTTGATGACAAAGCTCTGTCCGGGGATCTTTTACCTTTTGCTAATCACCATAACTTTACCATAAGCAATTAATTGGTTAAATGGAGGTGGAGAGGTTCAGTAGAGTTTGATCTTCAGATCTTTTGTCTTGGCTCAGGCAATCACTGGAGAGGGAGCTTGGGCTGCTGCCAAACCTCCCTGCCTCAGGTTCCTCAGGTAAAGAGGGGGTGGTAGGGACATTCCCGTCTTAGGGATGCTGGGAGGAGTCAATGAGCTAACCATGAGAATGCACTGGGGCAGTGCCTCAATGCTCAGTAAACGTGAGGTTTTATTGTAGTGGTTATTAGTTCATATATATCATGATAACCATGTTTACTAGAAGGTGAGGCCCTGTCCTGGGGCAAAACCCCAGGGGGAGAAGCAGCTGCTTGGCCTGGGCAAGTCCCTTAGCTTCTCTGAGACTGAATTTCCTCCTCTGGAAAGCTGTGAGTTAGCCTGAGAATCAGGCCCCTTCAAATTGATGTTTGGTGGTTCTGACATGTGCTCACTCAAGTGTAAAAATATAACTGACTGTGTTTTTCTCTTTGAAAATTCCATATTAAACATTATAGAACTAGAGAGTCCTCCTCCCCATCTATGGAGATAGCATTTTAACATATTTTTTTGGACTTAAGTTCATCTTTAAAGTCAAATATTTAAATCTCTTAGAGGGCAAAAACTGACAATGCCATAATCTCAAATAATAACATGACTAAAGTTTCATTTGGCTACGTGCTATACTATAAAAAGAAAAACTAAGGGATATTAATTATTCTTTCATTTTAGGGGTTTACCATTGATGTCAATAATTAAAATTTTTTTCCTCTCATGTCTTTAGCCAACATATAATATCACTGAAATACATGCACCTGAGCATATATTATTTAAAGAAAGAGATCTTCATTTAAAATTGATTCAATTATACAGTCAATTAACTATTGACCTCAATATTCTATACTCAACAATAAATTTCTTTTTAAAAAGGCAAGTTTAGACAAAATTTTTCAAGCAATAAAAGCCTGCAGTTGTTTTGTCTATATAGCTTATAAAATACAGAACTAGAAGTATTGTGCACCCCTAACATTTGGTATGAAGAACTGTAGATTTATTCCATTAGTTATTAATAATATGCCATTAATCTGGACCTGCATACCAGTTATAGAGATAACATCATTTCATCAGTACAGAGTCATTTATTTTTAGAATTAGGCGGGGGGAAATGACCAAGTGGGTGATCAGCAGAATTTTTAAGCAAAGAACGCATGATAAGTGAAATAACACATAGTAGAAGCATTGTAGGCTGCCCTGTGGAAATTCTGAGAGCCTTTGGAGTAGATGGAGCTTTGTAACAACAAAAATAAAGGTGAAATCTCTATTTGGCAAATGAAACCTATTGCTATGTAGTATAGAAACAGCCAGAGAGAAATCCCTTTTCTTAAAAACATTTGTTTTCACGATAGTTATACAGCTATATAGTTTGAAAAGTCAGAAAATTACATTTTATTAGGAACAAGAGTTTCCTGTGTCCTACTTCCCATTTCTCACTTCCCAGAGGTAACTATTCTCAACTCTTGTAGCTGTTGCTGTACGTGTTTGATCTCATACCTCTAAATCACATATTACTTTTGGTTTTTTCAATTTTAGGTTTTATCTTTTGCCATCCCAGTGGAACATGCTGATTTAATTCTCTTCTACTCCCTGATAACCACACACTCAAGTTTTCCTTCCAATATGATTGCATTATAATTTTTGGCTAGCTCAGTAGTATTCAGTGTCTACATTATTATTATCTTCTAAACGCTCTTTGTAGCTGAGCCATACAATGACATTTCCTTTCTTTTCCTACTTGTTTTCCTTGGGGTTAAAAAAAAATCTGTTTTTGTTTGTTTGCTTAGTTTCCTATGGAATTATAACTAAAATATCTACCAATTTTATATTTTAAGTCTCCTGAGCTGTTCCAGTTTAGTTATTTTCTAAACATGCTACACAGTTGTAACTCTGGGTTCTTTCTTCAACATCCTCTTGCAACTCCCATCTCTCCAGCTAGATTCCTCTGTGTTCTTTCTTGCTTCATACTCTTGTTTTGGTGGAGTACATCCTCTAGGAGCTTTCTCAGAAAGGATGAATGAATGAGCTTTCACAGAAAGGATGAATGAGTCTAAAGTTTGAGACTTTCATGACTGAAAATTTCTTCGTCCTACCATTATATATAATTATAGAATTCTAGATCTGAAATTATTTTCCCTCAAAATTTGAAGGATTTTCTTTTCTTTTTCTTTTTACATTTATCTTTATTGTTGAATATATTACAGATGTCCCTTCTTTTTTCCTCCTTGACTTCCTCCTTCCCACCCCTGCCCCTACTCCTGCCTTCTCCACACTTCCGTCTGTGTCCATTGGTTATGCATATTTGCATATAAGTTCTTTGGTTTATCTCTTCTCCCCACTCCTCCCTCCTTCCCTTTGAGGTTTGTCAGTCTAACAACCAATTTGTAAGAAGGATTTTCTTTTAAATTCCAATGTTGCTGTTAGGAAGTCAGAGTTGATTCTGCTTTTTTATCTATTGTTTGTTGTATTTTTTTTCCTGGAAAATTTTAGACTATTTTTGTTGCTGCCATTGTTTTTACATCGCATTATGATGTATTTTATGCCAGTATTTTGCCTTCTGCACTCGAGGGTATTGAAGGGTAGGCCTCTTCAATCCAGAAACTTATGTCTTTTACTTCTGGGAAAATTTCTTAAATTATTTCTTTGGTAATTTTATCTCCTTCATTTTCTCTTTCTAGAATTTGTTTTATTTGGATGTTAGATCTCCCAGATTGATACCCTACTTTTCTTATTTCTTTTCTCCCATTTACCACCTGTCTTAAAAAAAATTCTTCTTACTTAGATTCTTTTTTTAACCACTTCCAGACTGATTATTGAGATTTGGTTTTTCATTTCTGCTATCATATTTTCAATTTGCAGCACATGGCACATCCTGCTTTGTTTCCACACAGTAACATCCCTTTTCCCTTCCAGGTTCAGAGTTAAATGAAAGATGGGTGCATGAGGCACATAGATAATATGAAAATACTGTTTTTATTATCGATAAAACCTATTGGAAGATGGATTTAGATCTGCTGCCAAAACAACTGCTTATTACTCTCCCTCAGAATTAGGCAGGTTTATCCACTAAATTATAGATCTGCTATTCAGCTGATGACCCCCCATCCAGGAGAAGCCCCTTACCACATGAGAAAAGTCACCCGTAATGTGTGTTCTCTGAAAGGAGATACATCTTGAAGAGGAGGGAAGAAAAGACTGAGCCCCATGTGCCCAGTTTTTTCTTCCAGACTCACCAATCAAACGATTCACCCCTTTTCCTCCTGGGAGCTGGGATAGAGAAAGGCAGATGAAGGCACAGAGAGAAATGAGTGTCACCTTATTAGAGGTTGCTCCAAGTGGAAACCTGAGACTGGGAAAGGTATGTATACCCCCAACTCAGCTATGCCACCTGGAATGTTTCGGGTTCTCTGAGTCCATTTCTATAGCTACCCCTTTGCACTTCTCTCTGCTGTTCTTAGACCGATTGAAAGAACGTGCTGCCGTAGTGAGAAGCCTCTTACAGAAGACACGGGGGAAATCAGGTGGTGGGGGTGACATGGGACACTGCCAGCTCTCTGGCAAGGTGGAGAGAATAGAGCAGAATGATGAAAAAAACTCTACCCAGAAACGTAGAATCACACCACCACCACCCTTTTTGGAATTTTAACAATTTGATCCCCCAAATTAGTATTTATATATTTAAATATACTTAAATACAACAGAAATGGTCTTAATTGACCTCTGCTTTAGCAGCTTACAGGATGAGCTGATGCCTTTTTTTTTTTTTTTTTTTATCCTCACCCGAGGACATTTTTCCATTTTTTGTACAGACAGAGTGGGAGGGAGAGAGAGGAAGAGAGAGAGAGGGAAACATCGATATGAAAGGGACACATTGAGTGGCTGCCACCCGCACGACCAACCAGGGCCGGGGACAAACTGCAACCAAGGTACATGCCCTTAGCGGGAACCAAACCCGGGTCTCTCTGGACCGCAGGCGGACGCTCTAACCGCTGAGCCAAACCGGCCAGGGCGAGCTGATACCTTTTCTCTAGAAATCTGATTGATGCTGGTGCGCGCTGGCAGGCAGACCTCTCATGCTTGTCCATATACCTTCCAGGCACTGTCCCCTAGTCCGTGTATGCCAGTTGTGCTTATTATTTTAAGTATAATGAGTTATGTAAACTGATGAAACGTGTGTAGGAAGAGAATGCTATTTTAATGAGAACTATTTTAACCTTCGGGTAGATTGGATAAAGGCAAGTGGCTAAAAACACTTGCTATTGAATTAGGCTCGAAAGAAACAACTATAAGAGACTAGGGATTATCCTACAAATCTAGAAGGATTCTGCACTCTGACTGCTTTGCCAGCATCTAGAAGTACTTGCTCCAACTTAAACTAAATCATAATGTGCACTATGGGTTTGTTTTATGCAAGAAAAACAATACCCTGCCCATGAACTTGGAAATCAAGGGTTCCTTTTGAGGGTTAAACCACACAACGGATGCAATCTAAAATAATCCAGTTCTGCTCAGATGGACACAATGCCACTTGGGTCACTCTTGCTCAATCCAAGTATGTACTGACATTAAAGAAAGAGTGTGTCTGTCAGAAGGAATTGGTCTTGATGGTGATGGGGACAAAGAGAAGAAGATGGGCCAGGCCTGTAAACATAGAAAAAGAAGTGATAGAGAGGGCAGTGTGGGGCAGAGCCCAGCCAGGACTCGGGGAAGCTTGTGCTCTGGCCCGAGGACCCAGCCTGTTGAGTCCTGGGCCAGGCATACATAGTTTAGATGGACGCTCAGGGTTATCAAGCCCTGCTGCATTTAGATGCCTGAATCATCCAACTGACTCACCTGATTCCGAGTTCATCCTCATTAACATCCCACTGCTTACAACTTTGCTCCCCAGTTGGCATGCCTAGGTACACGGTGACACCACATGTTCATACATTTTGGTCCTCATTGAATTGAAGTAGTCTGCATTTCAGATCATCTAAAAATATCTGAGTGAGGTTACTGGGGCTCTGTCCTCAAGCAACGACTCTACTATTTATGTGCTGACAGAATGAGGTTCTGTGTCTGGGGTTTAGAGGCAGACTCTGGACTAGGATTAATCGATAAAAAAATGACGAAGGTTTCCTAGCAGACAGTCTGCCCGGGTCTACTGGATCCCTCCTGGAGACGCCCCCTCTTGGAATCCACCATCTCCAAACGTGTCCAGCCTCAGCCCCTTATTGGCTCTTTTGTGGGGTGCTCTGGCTCTTCTTTTAATATCAGGAACTAGAATCATTGCTAAAATAAGGGTCTAAGTCATAATGAGTAACGAAGTGTTTCTTCGAAATCTTTCTTACTGAGGCACCTTGGAATTGGGCTATGTGTCCCAATGTATAACTGTATTTCTGGGCACAAACAACACCTACTCCCACAGTTACACTCTTTGCGAGTTTTGTATTGTTTACAAACAAATTCTCTGTGCGCTGAGCCTGGCCACGGAGCCCCTTTGCCATGAGGAATGTCAAAGTCATGATCTAACACTCTGAATGAAGGTTGCAGTAAACGAAATATCAACAAGCCCGAGCCCTCCGCGTGGGTTGCCAAGCAGCTTTGGCACAGCCTGAAGTTTGTTTTACGTCTTTCAGCACCCATACTTTCACAAAGAACATACACATCCCCGAGAGCTGGCACGCACGGTGATAACGCGGCTCTGGCATCCGGGCCTCTCCAGGTCTCCTCTGCGTGTGCAGCAAAACACAGTGGTCCTCGTCATGGAGACAAGGGTCAGCGACAGTGGTCAGATTTACTGGGTGATGCGCGGTCCCCACTTCTCTCCAGCCTGTTGAAGCTCCTAGGAGGCAGGCAACGATTCTACAGCCCTTAAAGCCTCCTGTATCCGATTGTGTGGATATAGCTGAGAGAAGGTGGGAGGGACCTGGCACCTTGTTAACTATTTCCTATATATGTTAGACAGCTTGGGAGAAATGTTTCAGAGTGAAGGCAGCAGAAAGCCCGTACCACTCACTGCGTCTTCTGGTTTGCCAAATGAAGGGTCTCCCTAAAACCATTCCGCTCGCTTTTTCAGGAAAATGTGTTTACAGCACATGGCACCCCTCACTGTCTTATATTGGGCAAATCTGGAGATTCATTTGAAGTATTTTTTTAAAACGTTATTTTGAAATCACTTTACATTTTTTGAAAAGATGTAAGAAATTATTAGAGAAACTAACCTCTGTTATAGACTTCACCCAGATTTTTACCTAGTGTTAACATTCTGCCACTTTTGCTTTATCATTCCAAATTTCTGCCTCCCCCCCTTTCTCCTTCCCACCCCTCCCCTGCCTTCCCCTCCCTTTTCTTTCTTCCCTTTCCCCCTTCAAATATATAAACATGTTCATCACACACAAACATCACTATCTTTTTATGAAGTATTTGAGAATAAGTACAGCCATTATACTCCTTGACCCTAAGTACTTAAGTGTGTTTCCGAAGAAAAAGGACATTCACTTATATGTCCACAGGAGAACTGTGAAAAGCAAGAACTTTAACACAAAGGCAATGCTATTAGCTGATTTACATTTCAAATTTCTCCAGTTATCTCAATAATGCCTTTTAGAGCAAAATTTTTATTATTATTTTTGAAGGTCCAGGATCCAACCCAGGATCACACATTGCATTGAGTTTCCTGTTCCTCTAAGTGTCTTTTAGTCTAGATTCTAGACTCTAGAACATTTCCTCAGCCTGTCTTTGTTTTTCATGAAACTGACCATTTCAAACAGCATAAGCCAACTCTTCTAGACTGTCCCCCAGCTGGACTGGCAGCTGCTTCTTCGGATGAGATTCAGGTCACCCATTTGACAGCTTTGGCCAGGGTGTGTTACATCAGGAGGCTCAGGAATCTGTTCCCATGGTTGGTGACACTGGCTTCCATCCCTTGATGATGGTGGCATCTGCTAGATTTCTCCACTGTGACGTTACTATTATCCCCCTTCATGATTAACATGTAATTTGTGAGGATACTCTAGGGCGCTGCAAGTACCCTGTTGCTTGTCAGCTGCCCCCCACTGTTTCAGCGTCCTTGCTGGGCTGTGAAGGGGTGTTTCATGTGTGTTGTGTGTTCCTCCCTCCCCAGTGGTGATCATGTGTGCGAGCAGCGACACCGTCCGGGCCATCATGCTGGCGGCGCACAGACACGGGATGACCAGCGGGGACTACGCCTTCTTCAACATCGAACTCTTCAACAGCTCCTCCTACGGTAACTCGGGTCCCCTTCCCGGCATGCGCTAGGCTGTCAGAGGGGTGCGGGGGAGCCAATGATGTGAGTCACCACCACAGATTGGATTTCCATAACAGGGCTTTTAGAAGTTTGGGATTCTGAACACGATCATGTCTTCTCCTAAGGTCTTGAGCTTTTCTTCTCTGGGAACCCAGCAAAAAGATAGCAGGTACCTGTGATGGCCAAGGACCTGTCTCCAAATGATCATAAATCCAGGTCTAAAGACCCTTCCCTAGTGTGTTTTCAGCTGCAGGTTGGCTAGGTGATGGACTGTTGGAATAATTTTGGTGACATTTGGGCAGCATTTTTAATAGGACGGAATAGACTAGAATGTATCAATGTAATAGAACCTGTCAAAGTCTGTCACATGTAGCTTAGGTGTTGTTTCATAAAACTTTTAGTAATATGACTGTGTGCTTATGTGTATTTATTTAAACATGTTACCCATGTACTTGTAATGGGCCACAGTGTGAAATAAATAACCATTATTGTAAACTGAGGCACAACAGTTTGAAAGTCTCTGCTCTTAGTCCCTCTTCATTGCAAATTGCTGCCCCTCAAGCTTCTCCCATATAGAAGTTCAGGAGCCATCAACATATGTGATCGAAAACATTTAATTTCTTAAAACACACCTGGGGAAGTTCCCAGGGTGCCTGTGATGGAGGGTGTTTGAGAAGGTCATCAAGATCACAGGCACAGCCCTGGCCGGTTTGGCTCAGCGGTTAAAGCGTCGGCCTGCGGTCCTGAGAGACTTGGGTTCGGTTCCCGCTAAGGGCGCGTACCTCGGTTGCAGTTTGTCCCCGGCTCTGGTCAGTCGTGCGGGTGGCAGCCACTCGATGTGTCCCTTCACGTCGATGTTTCTCTCCCTCTCTCTCTCCCCCCCACTGTACCTGAAAAAAAAATGTCCTCGGGTGAGGATTTAAAAAAAAAAAAAAAAAAAAGATCACAGGCACAAAACAGTTTCCCCAAACGTGGTCAGGGCTCTCTCTGAAGTAGACACTGTCGGCCACATTGCCAGTTGAGGGGAGCTGCGCCTGTCACACACGGCATGCTGATGCTGGGCTCCTCCCCCAGCTCGGCCCTTGAGATAGGCAGAATCTAATCCTTACGACACACACTGGTTACCTGCTCTGTTATCCTGGTTTACTTAAGCAATAGATCATTTTGCATAAACAGCCAGTGATGCATACTTCTCATGGGCATCAAGAAAAGTTGATGAAACAAAAGTAGTCACTGCTTCCTTGTAGGGGATAAAATTGGAGATTTGAGGCTTTCCGGATAAAGACCCGATGTTTCCTCCTTGCTGCCATGATTGTCTTCCCCCTTCTCTTTTCACAAGCAGAGTGGCATTTTCACTTCTTGACCCAAGGCCAGAATGTAACTGCCTTATTGGCTGCAGTATTGAGTTCATTGAGACAGTGGTAGAGACTGGTGGACAATGAAAATAGTTTAGTCTGAATTTTGCAAGTTGGCAACTGCAAACATAGAATTTGGAGGCAATGCACTTGGATGCGCATTATAAATGGGCAAATGCAATACAGACATCAGGTACCGGCCTTCCTCCCATCCACGGATAAAGCCTGTATTACTTCCCCTACTCATGCCAATACACGAGTAGTATGGAAAATGTGACAAATATAGAAACACAGAAAAGCACAGGGAAGAAAATAGGTGACCATAATTCTATCACCCAGAATTATGTATCAAAGTATCAAGTTACATTGATAATATTTAGATGTAGGTACATCTTGTCTATTTTACAAAATATATTTACAAAAATATTTTTAAATAAAATGATCACACTATTTATAGTATGGGTACACAGTGTTTTATAATGTTGACATACCATCTTTACTTTTTCTGTCTCCTATTTTAAAATATTTGTGTTGTTCCCAGCTTTTTGCTATAAGAATGAGGCTATATTGAGTTGCCTTGAGTGTACATACATGTGTGTGCATATACACACACATTTATTCTGTAAGATAAATTTCTAGAAGTAGCATTTCTGTGTCAAAGGTTATATATGCATTTAAGTTTTGATAGATATTGCCAAGTTGTCCTCTAGAGAGATTTACCAATTTACACGTTTGCAACTATGTGTGAGACTGTTTTCCTACACCTCTGTTACCTAACTTTTAAATTATTTTATTTACTTTAATTTTTTTCATGTCCATAAGAAAATATTTACATTTTCTTCATTTAAATTCTGCAACATTCTCGTTGAGTTCACTCCTAGATATTTTGTTTTCTGGTTGTTATCGTGATCATGATCTTTCCCCTTGCATTTTGTAACTGTAGTTGTTATATAGAAAAGCTATGATTTTTGTTTATTTATTTTGCAAGAATTCCACATATTAAATCTCCTGGTCCAATAGTTTTTATATCATTTCCAAATAATAACAAGTTTTCCCTTCATTCTGATAGTTACATCTTACTTCTTCTTTTCTCATTGCATTGACAAGAGCCTCCAGATAATGTCATATAACAACAGTGATACTTTCAATTTCTGACTTTTTGTCTTTAAGTACGTAGACATATATATGACTTATTGGTGATTTTGGGACAACTTTTAAAATTTATTTTTCTGATTCTTGAAACATTACATACTTATACAGCGTATAGTGGGCTTTTATACAACCTACAAAGAAGCTTTGGTGTTTCTGATTAGATTCCCTTCCTTTTCCCTTTTATAGCCTCATTGCTCAGGTTTTGAGCTGAGGTGTCTGTCTGCTTGAGAGGCTGTGCCATGCACTAGCTCTTGGCACATTGATGTAACCCTGTCTTCCCACGCAAGGCTTAGTTTCATCTAATGACAACAATAATAATAGTACTTACCTCATGGCATCTGGCTGAGTAATCAATGAAATGGTGTATGTGAGATACATAGCAAACTTCTTGAATATTTAATAAGTGTTAAGTATATTTATTATTACTCTTAGTTTGATCATTATACATGGAACTTTAAAAATAAGTTAAGTTTGTACATTTTTCTGCGGTATAGTTTCATAGATTGATTTAGGCCATACATTGTTATCAAATTAAGCAACTTTGATCTAATACATTCTAAGGACCTGGTGCATTGGGAATTATATCTGCATGCAAATACCCAAGACTCTCAATAGTGATTTAAACAAATGTAGAGTTTTATTTTCTCACCTGTAAGAAGTCCAGAGGTGGGCAGTCCTGAGCAGGGATAATGGTTCCATCATGTCACCAGGGATCCAACCTTCTGTTTTTCTGCTCCCTCCCTCCATCTCTTTTTTTTTTGGTCAATCCTTATCTGAAGATATTTTCCCACTGATATTTAGTTACAGTGAAAGGGAAGGAGACACATTGATTGGTTGCCTCCTGCATGGCCTGACCAGGGCTAGGGATCAAACCTGCAACCCAGGTACGTTCCCTTGATCAGGAATTGACCCTATGACCCTTCAGTCCACAGGCTGATGCCCCAACTGCTGAGCCAACCTGCCAGGGCTCCCTCAGTCTTAGTGAATGGCATCCAACCTCAGTGGCACAAGATGGCAGCTAGGGCTCCAAGGATCATGTCGTAATCCCAGGCAAGACAAAGAGGGGAAGGTAGAGGGGCAAAAAGAGATCCTCTCAGTTGACTTAATTCTGTTTGAGGAGCTCTCTGGAAGCTCCACTCACTAACTTCTGCTTACATATCATTGCCTACATATCATTGTGTGGGTGGGGCAAGAATGTGCTTTTAGCTGAACTCACTGCTACCCCAAATCCATTTAGGAATCTGGGAAGAAAACAATAGATGTAGAGAGAGGACACTGTCCGTGTTTGCCCCAGACCCTGAAGCACCTCTCCTCCTCCGAGCAGAGGCAGTAACAGAACCTATGGCAGGCAGAGTGACCTAGAGCAAGGTTCTGGTCCATCATTAGTGAAGGGCCTGTTCCAAGACTTTGTGCCCTAAAAATCAGATACGTGTTTATGCAAAGTTCTTCAACATCCTTCTCTCCCTGTGCTTACTCATACCAAACTTTGTACCCACTCTAGAAAAAGGTCTATTTCAATGACTTGATATTGGATTTAAAAAAACATTTTGATAGTGTGTTCATATTCACTGATTACTAGCTTGTTTGATCTTGATGAGCTCTCAAAAATATTTTCATATCTGCCCAAATGATCTGATCACAGGAGTTCAGAATAGATTATGGGGGAATTGAAGTGATGAAAAATAAAATTGAAAGGGCATAGTTAAGAAAGTCTAGAGAGACGATGATATATGGAGAGTTTTTATTAGCACCTGTGGGCATTCTCATTCATTGGCATCGTTTTCTTTGGATGTAAGTTAGGTGGAAAGTTATCTGGGCAAGACTGTCTGGGATTGTTAAGAACTTTCCTGCTTCCCGAGTGCACGAATAGAGGGCACCAACTTAGGTGAGGATGGAAGGATAGTACAGCCATCCGATACTCATAAATCATTTGACTCATTAAAAGTGGAAAAGTAGCTCTGGCCAGTTTGGCTCAGTGGTTAGAGTGTCGGCCTGCGGTCCACAGAGACCCGGGTTCAGTTCCTGCTAAGGGCATGTACCTCGGTTGCAGTTTGTCCCCCGCCCCTGGTTGGGTTGTGTGCGTGGCAACCACTCGATGTGTCCCTTTCACGTCGATGTTTCTCTCTCGCTCCCTCCCACTCTATCTGAACAACAACAACAAAAAGGAAAAATGTCCTCAGGTGAGGATAAAAAAAAAAAAAGTAGAAAAAAGTAGAAAAGTAGCAGAAACACTGACCAGAGATGGGATTTATTATGTTTTTCTCTAAAAGTGATATATGCACATTAAAGTCAGTTTGGGACAATGACAAAAGGAAAAGAACTCTGACACAATCTTTCAACTGTAACAGTTATTAAACCACATTTAGACACTTTCCCTTCCTATCTTTCTTCCTGTTACTTTTGTTTTTAACATGGTTTGCCGTCCTGCTGCATTTGCAGTTTTAGGTCTGAAATCCTCCAGACTCTGGTGAGCTGCGCAGGGAGCGGGCACGGCACCCGGGTTTGGAGTCTGGCTCCCTTGTGGCTACCGCTTCTGTCATTTATTAGCTGAGTGACTTGAGCCTCATCTCCTTGAGCCTCAGTTTCCTCATCTGTGAGATGGGGATCATACTTAAATCCAGCTCACAGAGTTTTTCTGAGGATTACATGATGAAATGGTATAGGCAACGCTGTTCATAGTGGCATCACCTAGTAAGTGGTGCTGTTACTGCCGGTAGGAGTAACTGGACCAACCTCGCTTATGACAAGCACGTACTACCTGGACATTCGGAGAGGGTAGGACGTGGCTTTCTCTCACGTAAATGGCCACCAGAGGGTAAGAGCCATGCACAGTACTGTGCAGCCAGCCCAGATGAACTTGGGGCACTTATTTCTTTGACGTCCTCTGTGATGTCTCAGCTAGTCACTCAGCCCACAGTCATCGAAGGCCTACAGTGTGCTGGGTCGCTGGTAGGTAGTGAGGACCACAGGAGGACAGTTGTCCCAGCCCCGTGGAGGTGCTCTCCTCCAGGTCACTGTGACCTCCTCGGGCCTGCCGCTAAAGCACTGCTGTCCCAAGGAACTTCCTGCCACCTGGCTGTGTCCTCTCCTGTGTGGAAATGTAGCCGGTGCACCTGAGACACTGAACTCTCAGTTGTATTGCCTTTCAGTTAATTTCAGTTTAATTAGTCACACCTGTGGCTGGTGAGGCCCGCACTGGACAGCACAGCTCTGGAACATTCCACACCGTTTCCACCATTTCCTTCTGGAAACCCCGCTTTGCCCGGCTGGGTGGCTCAGCATTCTGCTGGTTCTCCGTGAGCTCCTCTGCCTCCTCCTGCTCCTGCCCACTCACAGCACGTCCCCCAATGTCTGCGCCCAAGCCCGCGCCTGGCACACGGGCTCGTCCCTGCAGCCAGCCCTGGCTCTAGCGAGGCCGAAGGGAAGGGCGGGCAGCGCTCCGCTGGCCCCGCCCTGTCCAGACCACTCTCTCCCACGGGAGATGTCACTGGGGCGCTCTGCCGTCAGTCCCCTTGGAGGGACTGTGACTCTAACTGAGATCATTGCGACTTCCACGTCCACTCCTCCATCCGACTGCTCTTCCCTCTGCTGACAACCGTCTCCTTCCTCTTCGCATCCAGGGGACGCGCTCTCGGACGCCCCTCACTCCCCGCCTCCCGTGGAGGCTCAGATTCCTCCTGCGTGGTCTCTGCTTTCGTCCGCGGGGGCTCTCCTCTTCTTATGATGAAAATGCAGAAAATAATTATTATTGAAAATTTCCTAGAGTCGGAAAGACACCCAACAGACAAAAGGAAAGGAAAGGAAACTTGCCCATGATTCTAACCACGCGAAGGACCATTTTTAATTTGGGGGGTGTGTGTCACTTCCACATTTAACCTGTCGTAACCTCTTGCCTGGATGACTGTGGCTGGGGGCCTCGGTGTCTCCCCCTCTAATCCGTTGCTATTTCCTAGGGCATGACTCTGATCACATCACTCTTCTGTTCCACTCGTCAGTCCCCAGAGGCACCCAGTCGTCTCCTGAATTAAGTTTGTCCCACTGATGGGGCGTCACGCCAGGCTGACCTCTGCTTTCCTGGTGCCCAGCAGCCCGGTGTGGGAGATGTCACTGACACGTTCGAATGAGAAACACCCACCAAAGCAGAAGTCATAGCCTCAGTTACGTTGGGGACAGACACCTATTTACTTTGGCTTAAATTTATTATACACTATTGTTTCCATTCTGTTTTTTCTCAAAAACAAAACTTCAAAGTTATTATCTTTTAGATTATGATAGACACATTTATTGTCTTGGATTTCATTTCTTTAAAGAAAACATGTTTCCCATTTTAATGACTGAGATCGTTGCTGTCTCCCGTTCCGTGGGTTTTCTCTAATTACACAGCATAGCACATGGGGTTAAGTATTCCCAGGAGAGAACTCTTTCCTAGAGCTGAGATGCTCCCACCCTCTTTGCCTAAGAAACATCGCTCTTGCTGAACCTGGAGACCGCGAATTAATAAAGAAGGAATCAATCAACATTGATTGCATGCTTATGAGAAATGGGTTCCTCCACGGGATGAAGACGTCCTGGACGTTCTCAGACTGGGGTCTTCCTGACAGAGCGTTTCGGCCCCTTCCCAAAGGCCTGGGAGTCTGTCCCGAGCACGCAGCTGGGTCCGCCCTGGCCTGGTAGGGACACGCAGCTTGCTGTCTGTCCGAGCACAACCCTAGTGGCTGCTGGCTCAGGCCGAGGCCCCTCCAGCTTTGGGAGGATTCATGTGGGAGGAGGAAGACTTTGTCTGGTTCTGGTCGGTGGCTTGAAATGTAATCCGTGCTCACTTAGGACAGATGTAGCCCTGAATGCATTTTGTTAGCTCCGTCTTATTTCTCCTTGAACAGCTTGCTGCCCACTGGGTGTCACGCGCATTTGCACCTTAGCGTGGGCCTTAGGCTCCGCCACACATGCCTTTCCTCCCCTCTCCTCCCGTTGAAGTCCTGCTCACACCTTCGGACCCGGCTGGGGTCTCCTCCTCACAGGACCCTTCCTTCCTCGGAGCTGGCTGCCTCTTCCTCTCCACGGAGCGAGCTGCGTCTTCGCATCCCCGCCCGCCCAGGACGCTGTTACCTGTAATAACGTCGGCGGTTACACATCTGTCTCGAAATCCTTCCCTTGAAGGTGGTGGAGGCTGCTCAAGACGCTTGTGATGTCCACCGCGGTGGCTCCCACAGACCTCTGAGCATAGTTCAGTTAATCCCTGTTTGTCTGACTTAAGCTGTGATAGAAATTCCAAGGCCACCAGCTCTCTTTCTGTACCAGCCGAGAGAGGGCCGTGGAGCCCTGGCCTCGCACTCCAGAACCATCCTCACGCTCAGCCGCTGCTGCAGGCGTCGACCGTGGCCTGGGGCTCAGAGCGGACAAATGACTTTGGTGTCGGACTCCAGGGGTTGAATTCCTTGTATTTGCAGCTCTCCAGGGATCATAATGACAGGTCATCGAAATAACAGCTTATTGTCAAAAGTTAGAGGTCCACATTTTCTTCTGGGGCACCAAAGGCCACATATTTTCTAAAAAATGAAATAATAAAGAGTGATGATTTTTATCCATTAATTTGCCCTTGCTTTTGTGAAGGGAGGGCTGTGAAGCAGAGAGGTCCCCAGCTTCTCATGCCTCAGTTTCCTCATCTGTAAAATAGAGACAATAGTTGTATTCATACCACTGGGTCTTGTGAGGGTTAAGTGAGTTTCTAACTATGAAGTGTTCAATGAATAGAGATTATTTATTATATATATTATGTATTATATTAGCAATGTTCATTTCATTACCATTGACGCACTGATGAACACTGTCCAATAAATAGTGCAATGACGTTGCCAATACTAGAGATCTAAGCCCTCCCATTTACCTAAGTTATGTCTCACTCTGAAGAGGTCCCAGAAGTATTTCAGGAACCGATCATCTTAAGCATGTTTGTTTGAACAGTGCCAACGTCATCACACGTGTGCACACCCAGTCCTGCTGCCACACCTGCATCCCCTCAGGTTTATTGCCCGAAAGCAACATCTTGGGGGACCTCCACAGTTGATCGTAGGGATTAGAAACTGAGTGTGAACGAGAATGAACGGAACTTACTTCTCCCTCCTGCAGCACTGCAATTCCTGGGGCCGAACGTGACAGGCACGTGGTCATTATAAGGTCATTACCACCACAGTGATTTACTTCTCCCACATGTCCAGGGAACACATGTCCAAAGGGCCTTCTTCTCCTTTGAGGATCTTGACCGTTGTCACATTACACGCAAGTGCAAAGCGATGACAATACCTCCTGCCCCTGCTACCAAGAGGAACACGTGGAGACACGTTGCAGTTGAGCAGGGAGAATGGCCCCTTTATGGCGACTGGCTTGGATGATAAATATTTTTCTTTCTCCCATAGGAGATGGCTCGTGGAAGAGAGGAGACAAACACGACTTTGAAGCTAAGCAGGCATACTCATCCCTCCAAACAATCACTCTACTGAGGACAGTGAAACCCGAGTTTGAGAAGTTTTCCATGGAGGTGAAAAGTTCTGTGGAGAAACAAGGGCTCAATGAGGAGGATTACGTAAGTGCCTGATTAGGGGCCTAGGCCTTCAGCTTCTGAAAACAGTCTTCTAATTAAATCAGAGGTGACAAAGTGTCCCATTCTGAGCCATTCAGAAATTCCTAGGTTCGTGTCTGAATGTCACTGTGCTGTGTGTGTGTGTGTGTGTGTGTGTGTGTGTGTGTTTCTGGCCAGCGCTCCCCCCTCCCTTCCCCAGCACACCCCCTTCACCCCCACCCTGCACTTTGGCTTTTCCAACTGCTGCAGGAAGGCAAATTGCTTTTTGTGGGCACTTGCGGTAATGCCGAGCAGATGTCTGTAGACTTCCATCACTTAGCCGGCTAGGAGCGTGTTGGGGGAGACGATGGATGAAGGAGTGCCAAAGTTTTGCATACCTAATTTTTCCGAAGCTTGGTGGCAGGAGATATTTCGGGTTTTGGAAGACTCTCTCTTCTGGCAGTCTGTCTCAGCTCTACGGCGAGTCTGCTCCTGTCTTGTGGCTGTGTCGTTGCCCCTTTGGCTGCAAGCTGTTTCCTACCCAAGTCGTCCAGCGCTTCCCACTCAATTAGTGCTGTTGTTACTGAGGCATTTTCCAAGAGTGGACCGGAGTCAGCGGGTTAGGCCAGGCTGTGCATGAAGCAGAGGGACTCATCGCGCTGGTGGCACTGAAGACGGCGGACCTCCACGTGTGGTGCCCTTGTTTGGCTGTCACTGGCACACGTTGCTGGGTGCCCCTCACCCCTCCATGCCACTCCTGTTGCAGAGCAGGGTGAGCAGTGGGTCCTCAGGCTGGCGGGGTAGATGTGCTGCTTTTTACAACTGTTCGCTCCACAGTGTCCGGAACAGAATAGGAACACCTTCTTTTTTATTGTTTTTCTTTATTTTTTTCCATTGCCATTTATCACCCCCCATACCCTTTTTAATTTTTCAAAAATTTATTTATTTAATTCTTCAATTTCAGTTTACTTTTGGTATTATTTCGTGTTGGTTTCACGTGTATAGCATAGTGGTTAGACAATCACGTACTTTACAAAGTGTCCCCCCGATATTTCCAGTACCCACCTGGCACGTAGACGTACTGATTGCAATATTATTAACTCTATTCCCTGTGCTGTACTTTACATCCCTGTGACTGTTCTGTGTCTATGGATTTTTTTGTTTCGTCCCTTCACCTTTTTCATCCAGCCACCCCTCTGACAGCTGTCAATCTGTTCTCTGCATCTGTGAGTCTGTTTCTATTTTGTTTGTTTATTTTGTTCATTGGATTCCACATATAAGTGAAATCATATGGTATCTGTCTTTCTCTGACTGGCCTATTTCACTTAGCATAATGCTAACCACCAATTTGTACTTCTTATCCCTTCACCGCTTTCACCCAGTCCCCAAACCCCCTCCCCTCTGGCAATCACCGGTCCGGTTTCTGTGGGAGCACCTTCATAATGACAGATGGCTGTATGGCTTGGATGGTCCCTGCCCAAGGTAGACAGTGACCAACTTCACAAGAGATGGTCACTTCCAGATAGGGCCTCTCCCAGCTTTGTTCCTTGAAGTACCACAGGGTACAGGCCTTGGCTTCAGACAGACCTCCATTCAGAGCCTGAATCTAGCACTTCCTTGCTGTGTGATCTGGGGAAAATTACTCAGTCTCTCTGATCCATATTATTTCTCCCTGCTAGGAGGATTATAGATACTTTATCTGAAGCATTTAGCATTGTCCCTGTCAAAAGTTGGAACTCAATAAATGATGCTTCTTTTATACTATCGTTATAATATTATACCTGTCTTTATAGGAATTTGCTGTTAAGTGACATACATATTTACTAATATCTTAAATGTTGTGTATTATACATACATTATTTGAAATACCTTTTGACTTTCTAGATTAGCACTGTCCAGTCTGTGCAATGTGATCCAGAAGTGTTATTTAAAGTGTCCTAGTAGCCACATTTAGAAAAATTAAAAGAACCAGGTGAAATTAATTTTAATAAAACACTTTATTTAACTCATACATAAAAATGTTATTTTAACATTTAACCAATGCAAAAGTTATGATGAGACTGTATATTTTTTTTATTGCACAAAGTCTTTGAAATTCAGTGTGCATTTCACCCCTACAGTGTCTCTGCAGTTCAAGGGCTCAGCAGCCATAGTGGCTACTCTACTGGACAGTGTGCTCGGAATTATGACAGGAGTAGCCCGACTGTAACAGAGCCCAAGTTTAAGGAAACCTATGGTAGTATTGTCATCATCCAAATCCTTTGCCCAGGAAGGCGGAAGAACAGAGGGCACTCAGCCTCCTCTAGAAGTGCTGTCTAAGGTGGTCTGGGCCAGGCTGAAAACATCCAAGTCTTTTACCTATGCCACTGTATTATTTTACTTTACCAGGTTTATATTAATTTTATGGCTTAAAAGCTCAGCAACGGTGTCATTTTTGTCTGGCACTTCTGGAGGTTTAAGTACAGGTAATCCCGTATAGATTGTCCTACAGAATGATACTCATTGGGCAGAAGTCATTCCAACACACTATGGGGTCATTCTTTTTGGTTATTAGTTTTTCTGTATTCAGAATATTAAGTCTTATCCAGTCTAAGGAAAATCTCATTGGGGAGATATACCTACTACAAAGATCCATATACATTCCAAACCAAGTGCTTTAGAGATTATTGGTAGTTGTAGACTACAATACTGTTTCTCTCTGAAGGTGAGATCATCTACAACTGACGTTATAAATAAAAAAATAAAAATGATACTTTTCAGTAGAAATTAGAGCTCATTGTAATTAGTTATTACCGTTCTGAAGATGTGTCTGTCTTCACATCTATGCCTGTGTTACTCAGGCTCTTTGAGTGGCAGTTGCTGGCATTTTTCAGGTCAGTGTGGACAGGGGGTTGTGGTGCCCACTGTGGGAGAGGGAGACCTGGGCGCCCAGGGACCGGGAGCTAGTGTGGCTGGAACTCCCACGTGCGACACCTGCGTCAGAGGCAGCAGGAGATGCTCAACAAACTAGCGAGACGTGGTGGTCTTCACTCTGGGGCTCAGCTCTTCCCTAGGTCCTTCTGCATCTCTAATTTGTACTCATCTGCCCACTTAGAACTCCAGTTCGTGACACCCACTGTGGGCTCTTAGGCCCCGGCTCTGGATCTCACATCCAGAAACTTCGACGGACTCCGATTAGTTCTAAAATTTACCGTGCAGTTCCTAAACAACCACAAGGCCTATGAACAGGGACAAATTTGTTTCTTTTCAAGTCTTCTAAGTATGCTTAATTAAAAGCATACTTAAGTATATTAAATGAAATGAAGTATTTAGTAATAATAGCTTAAGTTTATTGGCTGCTTTCTATGTGCCAAGCATACGGGAAGGGAATGCAGAATAAACTTGGATGGACCTGGCTAGGGCCCCAATACAGTACTGAGTATAAGCAGTGATGGTGGGAATCCCTGCTATGTTCTTAACTGTAATATGAAGAACATAGAACAGATTGTATAACTGTTCATCCCACCAAGTAGGCATGATGTTTCCTGTGGGGATTTTGGGAGAGCTTTTATGAGATTATGGAAGTTCCCTTTTATTCCTCGTTGGTGAAGTTGTGTTTTGGCAAAATTACACCTTTTATTAGGATAACTGAAACAAAGCACAGTAAACATCACAGTTTTTATAGTGCAGGTTGAGAGAAGGCTTTGGACACAGGATTCTATTGCAGGCATTATAACTTGCATTATATCCCTGGCTCTGTGTCATATGTGTTAGTATCGCATCCATCATATTAGCATGTTGGCAGCATGTGTTCTCAAAATGCAAAAATTTGAAACTTTAAAATATTTATAAGTCTGTATTGAAACATTGGAAGGATGGAGAGTGGCTATGACTTTAAAAATAATTATTCTATATTTTTAACTTACCAAATTTTTATGGTTAATAACATTTTGTTTTCATAAAGTTGATTTTCTCTCCCTTCCTCCCTTTCTCCTCCCTCCATCTCCACTTCTTAGCCTTTTAAATATTGATGTTTTAATTGAGATAATTTCAGATTTACATGCTATTTTAAGATGCAATACAGAGACATTGCTGTTTACGAGCTCAGTTTCCCCCACTGGTCACAATTTGGAAAATTATATGTAAGATCACAAATGGATATTGATACTGACACAATGCACTGATCTTATTCAGATTTCCTCAAATTTATTGGTGTGTGTGTGTGTGTGTGTGTGTGTGTATGTGTGTTTATGTATTAAGTTCTATGTAATTTTATCACCTGTGTAGGTTGGGGTATTTGAATTTTATCAGACAACTTTTCTATATCTATTGTGATAATCAGATATTTTTTTCCTTACTTTGTTATAGTGTAGTTTGCTGTATTACTAGTTTTTTTATTTTTTCTAGTTTTATTGAGATATAATTGACATATAATATTGTATAAATTACCACAATTTATTGAAGTGATTACCACAATTACTTTAGTTAGCATTTATCACCTCACAGTTACAACATTTTTTTTCTTGTGATGAAACTTTTAAGATTTTTTCTCTTAGCAGGTTTCAAAGGCACAGTGTTGTTAATTATAGTCATCATACTGTGCACTACATCTCCAGAACTTATTCATCTTATAAATGTCAGTCTATATCTTTTGATCACCTGCACTACTAGATTTTTCTAATTTTAATAATCTCTGCACTCCTGGAATAACTCTGGTCTTTCTGTACCTCAAGACCATGGGCCTCTCTATTTCCCAGGCCATACTTTGGAGAATATAATTATGTCGAACCTGTAAAAGTTTGCCTAGGTGGAGCTTCCCAGGCTGGGTTGTCCCAAGGGCTCTTGCAGCCTGTAGACTGGTGTCTCTGGTCACATTTCTCCTCTGGTTCCACTCGTCTCTGAGGGGTGGTTGGGTGGTGCCTGTGTGTGGTGTGACTCCTTAGGGCTGGGCTGTCACTGGGGCTGTATGTACTGGGTGGTCTAGTTATTACTACATGTATCTCATGACAGTTTCTCCACCATTTCTATGGGTAATATGATAATAT